AGGCCAACGGGAAGGTCATCCGGTGGACAGAGGTGGGTGTGTCAGCCCAGCACTGGGGCCAGGACTGTGCCCAACTGCTCCCCCAGTCACCACAGGAAAGCAGCACATGCTTCCCCTGGAGCCTGCAGTGCCTCTCCTGCCTGCACAGGAGGCTGCAGCTGGCATCCTGAGGGATAAACCATCCTCCCACTGCTGCAGCCACAGCCTGTGCTGCACCAGCCACTGCTGCTCACATGGGGACTTCAGCATGGGGGTCCACAACACCACTTGCTGTGTTACACACAGGAGCAGCTGGTTTCATTTGCCTTTGTGTTAAAAGCTGCCTTTCTACATGGAGACAAATCTTAATATAAATTGTTTTTTAGAAATGTTATTTTGAGCCACTGTCTATAAAATGTTGCATGTTAAAGTGCTGTGGCATAAATCACTCAGAAACTGCTTGCATGGCTGATGTTGCCTGTGACTCTGCCAGCACACAAATACTGATGTCAAAATATTTCTATAAGTGTTTCACTTTGCCTGCTGAGGAGGAGCCAAGTTCTTACTCTGCAGCTTGGCCCTCGTGTGCCCTTTTTTCCCAGGTCACTTGGGCTCAACAGAAACAAGTTCAGTGACAAAAATAGCAGATCTTTGAGCTTGTATTGTGTAATTTTTCTGAACATCTGCCTAAAAGTAGGTTTTTATTAAAACCATGTGCAATACATAGTGAATTTCCATAGCAAGGCTTTTGGCCAGACCTAAGAGGTTTCAGAGGACTATTTAAATTTAAATCTTTCTTCTGAAGTTCTTAAAAGTTTTTTCCTCCCTATGGTGACTTGCCTTCAGGGTTTTTTCTGGGCTTCCCTGAACAGGTACTTCTTAAGTCTTCATTGACATCCAACCCAAATTTTCTAGAAAAGCCAAGTGTTTATGTCTTGTGCTGACTCTTCCCTTCAGGTGTTTTTTCTGGAAAATGATGAGCAACACAATGGTCTGAGTGACCCAGCTGATCACAGCAGACTGACTGAAAATGTGGCAAAAGCTTTCTGTCTGGCTCTGTGTCCTCATCTGAAACTGCTGAAAGAAGATGGAATGACTAAGCTGGGTCTGCGTGTTACACTGGACTCAGATCAAGTAAGTCTTCAGTAGTTTGGGTTTAACTGGGAGGTTGTTCTCTTGCTGCTGGCTGTTGTTCCGTGTTTTGAGACATGTGTTAGAGCCAATGCCCAGCCTCAGTTAACATAGGCTTGACCCCTATATGGCATGAGCAGCACCTGCTCTGTGCTCAAAGACTAGCTGGCCTTTTTGCCAGCAATTAATGGTGTGTGAGGGTCCTGCTCATCCCCAGGAGTTACTTTGAGAAAACAGGAGAAAAGAGAGGGTCCTTTTGCTCAGGCAGCCACTGGGAACACAAAGAAGCACAAAGACAAATGGAATAGGTGCTTTAGTGCCTGCTTGATCCAGTTCTAGTTCCTGACTTCCCTGGGAGATGCCACAGCTCCTCCTCCCTTCCTGCCCCCTGACTCACAGCCTCGTGTCCTGTTCTTAAAACACACTCTTTGTATTTTTTAGGTTGGTTATCAAGCTGGGAGCAATGGACAGCCACTGCCCTCTCAATACATGAATGACCTGGACAGTGCCTTAGTGCCAGTGATTCATGGAGGGGCCTGTCAGTTGAGTGAGGGGCCAGTCATAATGGAGCTCATCTTTTATATTCTGGAAAACATCTCATAAGAGGACTTCATTTTCTGTTCAGACCTGTTCCAGCAGCAGTTGTATCTGAATCATTTGCACTTTAAAACTGGAAAATTAAGCTTTTGTTAACACTATTGGGGAAGGGGGGGAGGGGGGTGGGACAGTTGTTCCATAATTCTAAATCTTCTATGCATTGTCAACAACCAGAGGATCAGGGCAGCTTCTATACTACAACATGGCTATGCTATCCTTGCAGCTAAATCCACTTCTGTTACTGTTTAGGAAAATGCTCATGTTTAAAGACTTACAGTCATGTACTCTCAATGCTCAAAGGGTGCAGAGATCACTGGGGCACAAATAAAAAGTGAAATTCCAACCTTGTACTGTTTGTAGATGGACATGTAAGAAACAACAATCAAGACCTCCATTCTGACCTCATCCTAATGTCATTTGTGGTTATTCTGTAGACATTAAAAAGTAACGTTTACATTATTTTGACCAGATTATTGGTTAAATACGTTTGGAGAAGCCCTTGAGAGATAGGGAAAGATTCCCTAGCCATAACCCTGTTTGTCTGTGCATCCAGAGGAGCAGGACAGGCATCTCTCTGAAAGTTACTGAACTGCAGTTGTGTGTGTGGAATAGGCTAGTTTCCTTTTCTCCTCTATTTACCACAGAAGTCCATCACTTGGGCAGGTTTCTGTGATCTCCTACATCTACTCTGCTATTCTGTACTTTGTTTACAAATCTGTCTGAAGCAGAGGAAAGATCAGCCCTAAAGTGCAGTTCCATCTTGTTCCTTGTCCCCAGTAGGTCCTGCTTTTTAGAGGCAAGTCCCCCCAGGGCAGCTCTGTCCCCTCCCTGCTGTTCGCTGTAGTGTAACGCCAGTGTCATGTAACCCAAGCCAGCTTGCACTTCACATTGCAGCCCCATGTCCAAGCTTACCTGTGATACCAGTGTAGAGTGGCTGTTCCTGCATGTTCTGCTGAAAAAGGCTTTGTGGTCAGTTCTGAACACGTGCACTTGGCCCAGTGCTCTTGGTCTCACCTGAGAGGGCTTTGGTAAGGAAAGCAGCTGCTTGTGTCTGCCAGGGCATTAAGAAGCTGGAATTGAGCATCAGCCAGAGGAAATGTGGTTCCATGTTCTTACTGTCCCCATGGAAAGCTGCTAACCAGTGGCAAGAGCTGTAAGCAGGAGAAGGGGTTTGATTTGTTTAGCTAGTCATGCAAAGCAGCTCTTTTGAGTTCCTCCCAGGAAGAGAGGTGAAGGTTTTGCCTCCTGTCAAGAGCTAATTAATTTGGGAAGAGAGGTGCTAATTTATGGTGAACATTTGTGGTGTCAGACATTCTCTATTGCCCTCCAGTCTGGAGGAAGGAGCAGGGCCTGTGCTGTGACAGAGTAACACCAGTGGCCTTGAAAAGAGAAAGGGAAATGCCAGGCCACTGTGAGACTGAGGCTCTGGTTTTTAAACAAATCAACACCACTGGCTGGGCAGGGGAAAGGTAATTGCAGAGAGTGATACATTTTATAGAAAGGCAGCCCAGTGTCTGCACGGAGTGCACTCGGGAATAAATGGCTGCTGCTTTTCAAAAAACAAAGTATGACAAATCCAATGTTCCAAATTACAGCTGGCACCACCCAGCCCTTGGAGAAGACAGGCCAGAGAACTGGGGCCAACTCCACAAACAAAAACTGGCCAGCAAGAGGGAGCACACTTTAAAGGGTGTCACATCCAAATGAAGCCTTACCTCTGGCATTTGGGAGAGGGTGGGTGATTAGAGCAGCTCATTCAGTGGTTCCTGCTGGCCAAAGCAGGAGCTGGGACCCAGCCCCTGCTCCTGCCGAGGTGCCTGTGCAGCCCAGCTGGACTGAGGCCATTTGATCTCCCTGTGCACCCTGGTTCTGCACACTCTGGGACACAGCTCAGCCTGACATGCTGTAGGCATGGTTCCACAGCTGGAAGAGCATTCCAGAAACTTGGTAATAATCTTCCTCCTCGAGCCTGCACTCCAGCTTTGCCACAGCAGCAGCTTTCCAGTTACTTTCGTTGCATTGTTATGCTTAATAATGCAGTAAAAGAGGTGAAAACTGTTTATCTTCTCTTCCTTTGCCCCAGAAGTCTTTTAGGTTTGGATTCTGTTTGTGCAAAACACTATCAACTGGTGACTGACATGTCTGCTTCAACCATAGCCTTTGAAATGACCTTAATTACCATGTTGTTAAGAAATGAGTACTTGTTTAGAAAAAAAAAATGTACTTTTAAAATTCAGTTAGTTAACACTGCAAAAAACTGCATATTATATTTTTATTTTCAACATGTAGTTTTGTATATTAAATTTATTGAAATTAAAAACTAAACACTGTATTGTCTTCATCTGCTCAGGAAGACAGGCAGAGCTGCCTGACCTGTCTGGACTCTGTTCTGTCTCCCAACCTGCCCATCCCTGGCACAGGCACATCCTTCCCTTGGAGATCCCTGGTTTCTGTTAGCTCACAGAGACTTAAAAACACAAGCAGATTTAGTACCCTTCTTGTATGCTGCTGATCAAAAAGCATTCCTGAAAATAAGTCATGATCCAGTTTTCTTAAAGGACAAAGTGAGACTATTTTCCCCCTCACCTGGAAGAACTGAAAAAGCCTATTTTTGTAAAAATACAAGGAAGATTTGGGAAGCAGCAGTGTCTAGTGTACTTTTGTGTTTCTTTCTTAAATTAAAACCCCAACACCATAAAGGATGAAGGCACAGTACCCTTCTGCACTGGAGAAGCAGTGCAGCAAGCACGGCACACAGCTGGAAGCCAGAACAAAACCAAAGCTCTGTAAACACCAACCTGCTGAGAAGCCCTAGGGCCTTTCCTTCAGAAAGGGACAGCCCTTGGAACCTAAAGGGCATGCACAGAGGAGGGACTGGCACCCCTGAACTGCTGCCTGAGAGCTCTCCTCTGATTTAGGAAACAAAAAAGATTCCGACCCAAACAGGCCTGGATAGGAGAGGACAGAAAAAGCAGTTGCAGACTGTTCACTGAACCACACCGGCTGCTCAGACACTTGGGAATAGGAATTCTGGTAAAGGTCTTACCTGTGACTTAACCAAAAAGCTCTGGCACTACCTCAGGGAATTTTTAAGAGGCTAAACCCTTCTCACAGCACTCTGCATAGTTAATGTAACATTCGTCCTGGTGCTACATCAGTAGTCCCACATTAAGGCAATTCTGTCTATTTTGGGTAGAGCGGTCCCAAGCCCTGCAGCAGCGCATTCCCAGAGCCTCCTGTTTGCCTTGGAGTTATTAATAAGCACTATGGCTGTTATCAAAATAGACATTAGGTTCAGTAGTGCATTCATTTAACATCTTTGGTGCTTGCAGCTTAGCAGCATCTTCCTGCCTTCGCTCAGCCCACGACTTCCAACATTCCCATGGATCTGGGGAAAACAACACAAACAAATCCATCAGTATTCCTTGCTGCAGTACAGAACAGATGTTCACACTTCAAGGAGACATTATATGGAAAATGCTGACACCAAGGTTCTGGATGGTCAACGAGAAAAATCAATGGAGCAAAATTATTAAGCTCCAGTGATGGAAAGTGCTTGGGCATGAGGCCAAGTTGTTATTTCAGGTACGGCCATTAAATGTGTCCCTCTGCCTGACTGGAGCTCATGGGACCTCCTGACCTCCTTGGCTAAGAAACCACTAAAACAGGCCTTTTGGTGCCCAAATGGTGACTCCTGTACTGAAATGAGACCTCAGTTTCTACAATCTTACACCATTTGCTTCCAAACAGGTGATGTCACTCTGAAGCTGATGAATATTTGCTTAACCTCCATTTAGACATGTAAAGTAAAACCATGTGCTAAGGAAGAGGGAGCATGGAGGCTTCAGGAGATCAAGCAAAGGAATATGGATTACTTATTACTTATTTTCTAAATAGTATTCTTAGTAAAGGTGACACCAGGAGCTGTCCCTGTGTTTCAAGTGATTGTGAAACAGCATCTCTGAGATACAAACTAATCAGAAATTCTGTAACCTCATTTATGAAATTATGTCAATTCCCCACCACAAATATAAAGAGGAATGCTACTGAAACCAGAGCTGTGTAATTAGGTCAATGGCAACAAAAGACATTATTTAAGCAGAATTTATCTGTAGCCCTGTCAAGTCCTGCCCAGACCCGCTCTGGGCACAGCATTCATACCTCAGACAGAACTAACGTTCAAGGACCAGCCAATTTTCTGTAACTGTTTGAAGATCTTGACCACTGAGGGGCTCCCTGAGTCTCACTTTTACCTCCAGTTTCCCTCCAGTGGGCTTCCTGCCATCAAAAATCTGAAATAACCACAAAAAGAAGAGCACTTAGGACAAACAGGGAGTATAATGTTAAACTTCAGAGCCTCAGGCAACTGTGACTGAGATCCCCGCAGGTGACTGCAGTGCTGAGAGGGTCACAGCCAAGCACTTCTTTGGACTGGAACTCAGCAGAGCAGGTTCCCCCCAGCCCAAGCAGGTTTTCAAATTCACCTAATACAAAACTCGACTGCACTCACACATTCATGTGATCCAAGTACTCATTTCCCCTTTGGGTTTAAATATTAAGCACAAGAACACACCTCATCCCAAAAACATACCTCGATGATCTCTCTAACTTCACATTCTGATTCCAGCTTCTCCAGCTTCAAGTGTGCTGTCCCCACGTGTTTGTCACTTCTGAAAAAGGACCTGTGCCAAAGAAGTGAAGGGGTAAGGATAGTCAGAATGTTCTGACTGAAAGAGAAAACAAGCCCAGAGGTCATCACTGCTCCATCCCCACATCCAAAGAGGGCTGGTCAGGACATGATCCTGGAACCCTGCACACCACAGTGCCAGAGGCAAACCCTTAAAAACCAAACTGCAAGGAATAAGAAAAGAAAGTACTCATTTGTTAATTATTCTTTTTTTTGCAACCAAGGTAAAGATGAGAGCAGCAGCGAAGAAAAACAATCAACTAAATCAGCACTTGGAGTGGCAGCAGCTTCTGTCCCTGCCCAGGGTGACAGGGAAGGAGGTCCCAGTAGCCAGGACAGGGCCGTCCTCTACTTGGGGTTGTTTAACAGAACAGGATGAAGGAATTCCCAAGGAAGGTGCATCTACCAGCAAAACAAACATTTCACAGGCACCTGCTGCTTTTGGCAAACTACTTTTAGGAAAAAAAAAGAAAAATCACATGAATCATTCTGTTTCAACTTGATAAATCAAAACAATATCAGTAAATAAGAACATTCCAGCTATTGTTTTGATTCACCTACATTCTGGTAGTTTCAACAGTCAAAAACTACAATTTTAGAATTTCCAGTCTGCTGTAGTTAAACACAGAAGCATTTTTATCCTGTGAGGAAAACAAGTATCTTCTCCTTGCTGTAGTCACTTCTGTTGAACAGTTTAATCAGCAGAAAGTCAATCCTTACCTGAACAGAGACAGGTGTTACAACCCTTAACCAGAAAAACTCCAAAAGGGCAACAGACTAAACCACCCTAATTCTACAGAACTGTTCAGCTCAAAGCACAGCATTTCTTTGCCTGCATTCAAGCGCCTCCCTGAACCAGTTTCTAGAAGGTTTGATAAACAACTAAATTCTAGAGTTGAGCTAAAAAGGATAATTTGGCCACACCTGGTGTGTTTTCTTGGAAATTTTCCAAGATTTCAGAAGCTTCCATTTTTACCCACTCTATTTCAAAAAAAACAAGCAAGCAAACCAACAAACATAAAAAACCCATCCCCCACAACCCCAAAACATCCATCCTTCTCCCTATTACCATTAAGAGATACTAAGGTATTATCAAGCAAGACTTGACATATACAATGGAAACTCAAAGACTGTTAATGGAGCCTCAAGATCACATCATTGGTGGCAACAGGAGACTGAGACTCTCCATCAGTGAGGCCACAGCAGACTCACACAATCATTTAGGGAAGTTCAGAATTCCTTAGCTCACATGTTGGAATACTTCCTTCACTTCACAAGCACCTTAAAATGAAGGATTATGTAATTGTACTGCAGCATGTGGGACACTTTGCTCATAAAGTTCAGACAATCAGCAATTCTCGCTGAATTTTTAAAAGCATTTTTCCATTTTATAACTCAAGAAACAATAAAGACTGGTTCATTCCTACTCAGTTCCAGGGGCTTGCTGTGAAGAACCTGCTCTAGGCTATGGCTTCAGAAACAGCTCTGGGGAAATCCCCTTTCATCTTCAGAAGATTTTAGGAGAGGCTCAAGAAGAGACTTTTCCTTTGGAAAAATACATTGCTGGGTTTTTACTTTAAAGTGTTGTTAAACTGAAGTTTAATATATATGACCTGAAACAAGTCTCCTTTGCTCACTGAGCAAACATAATTCTTGGGAGATGGTCAAAGAGATATCAGAGACCCCAAAGCTACAACATCCACAAAAGCTTTTCTGAAAGTATTATTCATCTGTAGTCTCAGAAAAGACAGGGAGCAGACAGTCTTCAGAAAAGAGCCTGGATCACTTCATCCTCTCCCTTCTCCCAAGGAGATGGCTGGGAAAAGGTGATTAAAAACCCCATTTTAAACAAATGTAAACACAGCTTTGCAAAAGAGGAGATATTTTGAACACAGAGTAGTGGAGCAGTCAGGACTGACAGAAAAAGAGCAAGAAAATCAACTTTTGCTTCAACAGAGATGCCAATTAATGATCTGGAATAAAACAGTGGGACTTCAGGTCACAAACTGAAACATCTGCAACTTAAAAACCATCTCAGAAAACCTATGGATGATTTCTGCATGGCCCAGTAATAGCAACAAGGAATAGGACAAAGAGCCACCAGATAAAAACCAGGTTATCTGGCATCCCATCACAGTCCTGGATCACAACCATGCCAGGGATGAGGGAATTCAGGCCACTTCTATTCTGAATAACTCAGTTGTGAGCCTGGACTGAGGATGATCTTCCTGAACATTGTTAACATTCATCTTGTGATGCTGCTCTCTGAGATGAGGGGAGTCTGTCTGTCTCAAGGGAGTTACCAGCAGTGCTCAGGAAGTATTGCAAGATCCAATGAATGAAAGTACAAAAACATAATTCTAGTTCTGCCATCATCTGTCATCTTTCCTGCTGTTCATATTTTGTTGCTGCTTTACTTCATTATTCTATGGAATTATTCCACAGAATATATAATTTTTCTAGTCCTGATGACTGAAACCAAACTAGGTAAGAATCAAACAATTTAAAGTAAATAACTGCTTTCTCAACTCCTTTTAACACACCAATCCTCAACTGACCCAAATCAACTTCACCAAATTTGTGTCTCCATTCACCCCCCCACAGGAAGCTACAGAGCTCAGGCACATTTTGAAAGCTCTCACACATGAGGAGCAGACAAGTCTTTAGTGCTGATTTAGAGACTGTGTTTCATGAACTCTCTCCATGTCAGCAGAGCAGCAAAGTGTGGACTCACCCTTTGTGAAACACTTCAAACTTGATTCCTTTGGACCGAACCGCGCGCCGGAAGCCTCGGTGGTTGCGGTTGATGTTCAGCTTGAACAGCTGGTTGTACTCTGAGAGGGGAAAAAGGAAAAGGGAAGAAAGCTGCGAGTCAAATGGTGTGCAGTGCTCTATTCCACCACCTACTCAGAGCTCTTTTATCTCAGTTTGGCCCATGTGTGAGACACTTCAAAGCCACAGAACTCCTCCTCAGAAGGGTCTTTCAGTCAGTCACAAGGGTGTGTCCCTGTGCCACAGTTCATGTCACCCTCACCTTACAGGGACAGAACTGCAGGAAAACTAAGCCATTGTGAGCTGACAGCAAGGTACTGGAGAGCTAGAACTAGAGAGTTTAGGTCTTTAAGCAAGTAAACAGTGTTTGTGGCTAAGAAAAAAAGCACAAAATATCAAAGAAAAAGCAAAGCAAGGCTGGAATGACTGGGAATGGGTGTTTTGAATAATGCAATTAATACTGGTTTAATTCATGACATAATGGCTACCACCAATATTGGGATGAGGGGGAAGAATTTGCCAACACAGCTGGACTTCACATCCCAAGAAACCCTTCCATAAGAAAGAAGAAAGAAGGTGGTGGGAGGATCTGTGGCCTGGTTCACAGTCTGAAACCAGCCTGTACTGGGATTCCCAAGGTGTAACATTTTTCCTGCTGTTCCAGAAAAGAAGGACTCACCTGGACAATTGTTATTGTTAATTACAGATGTTTTACTCTTTTGAGGTTGTTCCTATCAAAAAAAAGAGACAGACATTACATAAAACTGTCAGGTATTGTTTGAAAACAGACTAGTGACCATTTTTATTGCCAGCTCTATTTTATGCCTATACCAGAAACCTAAGGTTTTAGGGGTTATCTAAAGAAGAAGAATGATGGTATATTCAAGACTAAAATACTTGGATTTCAATGTGGTAACAAGGATAATACTGGAGAAAGAATAAGCCAAAACATTCCATTAAATATGAGAGCCATAGATAAGCTACACAGTCACAGTCAATTCAATCTAATCATCATAAAGTTACTGACTGGGGCTGTTAAACTCCATGACAAACTGTACACCTTCCACGACACAGTAATTCTGTTCCTCCTGCATTAGCTGGAATAATAAGCTACACAAGGAATTCATCATAAATCATTCAGGGAATTGCCCTACTATTATTTTCCCTGACAATCAATCTGCCACCAAAATGAATTAACTTTTAACCTAAAGTGGAGTACAAACTAAATCTCTGGGGAATGAACAAGGACAATGTGGCCTAATTATTGCAGCTACTTTGCAAAACTGATTCAGCTCTAAAGGAGAAAGGTGGTATATTTATTTGACTGTTCGCTAAGGAGTAGAGATCTGTTTTTTCTTTAAACAAAGGAAAATAGATTAAAAGGAACTGATTCTTACTCATTCCCCAGAAAATTATTCATACAGACCAGTTCTGGTTTCAGGCACCCTGAGTTACTCCTTCTTTAAGGCCTCATGTCACTCAAACCTAAACACAAACCTGGTCTGACCATCACCAATTTCCCACAGGTAACTGAATTAATTTTAGTGGAATTACTGGAAAATTTATTCGGAGGTAAAAACCTAGGCTGTGCTCTCTCCCAGGGCTAAGCATTAGTCCTGCAGAGCAAGGTCTGGTTTTGCCCTACACAGAGAGCAGCAAAGCCCCAGGACTTCCACCGACCTAAGTGACCAGTCAGTCCCTCCTCAGAAGCCCTTCTAGCTCTAAGGTTTGGGTATTTTTCAGACCAGAGACTGCTTTTAAAGGTGAGAGGAACAGGATGACACTGGGGAATTCCAAGGAAAGAAGTAATACATATGTGTATACATATTTTTATATACATACACATACATACATGCACATACACACAAGTGCCGATTAGAAAAGGTGAGAAACTTCCATGGCCCATGTCCTTTCACCAGGTATATATATATATATATATATATATATATATATATATATATTTATATATATATTTACTAATTAAATCATTTATTTGATGACAAAGATTAACCCTATCAATCCATTTCTACAACTGGCTGAAATGCAATGCCTTTATTAAAAGCTTGGTTTTTTGATGGAAGAGGACTTAGGGAGATCACATCTAAGGTGACAATTTTGTGTGCCCTGGTGTTTGGTTTGCTTACACCCCTGAAGGAAATGAACTTTGACACATTTTGGCATCATTGCAAAGAGCCTGATTGTGCCTTCAGGGGGGAGAGGTGGGCATGGCTTAGCACTGAGTGCTGCTGACACAGAACCTGCAGGCACCACCCTGCCAAGGGTAAGGTGTGGAGAACATCAAGAGAAAGGTGCAACGCTCAAACCTGCAGCCAATACACTCAGCAGTTCTGTTCCTCAGAAAAAGAAATTTGCTTTAAAAGCAGATCCAGGCAGGATGTCTAGAAGTGTTCTCCCTTTCCCTGGAGCCCTCACAAGCTCATGCAGTGGCAGGGGGGACAGACTGAGGGGCAGAAGAGCCACGACACACTCACCGCACTCGGGTACTGAAATTCAAACTTCACAAACGCATCCAAATCTCTTGGTGACACACCTGGGTGAGACAACAACCAGCCAATCCAAACAGCCAGTACAGACATTGTCATTGCATCTGTCATGTTGAGCAGGAGTCTCAAGAGCACTCAACTGTTTTACAGTAGGACTCATGATCAGTCTCTTGACAATTGAAAAACCCATCCATCAAACCAAAATCCATGGAAAGTTGGCATCCAAAGGAAAACACCTGGGTTTTTTATGCTGTTAGTCCTAAAACAGTCTAGCACAGATGGTTTACAAGCTCTCAGGAGCAAGGAGTTAAAAGCAGTAACACTGGCAGGAGCAAACCTTGTCTACTGAAGCATCAAAATACACCAAAGTGGTGCAACTCATAGGCAGGCCCTTGTAACAAAATAGGAGGTAAAAATGAAACCTTAACTATGAGCCAGTTATGAGTGAACCCAGGAAAATTTAAGGTCTTTTCTCTGTCCAGACAGAACCCAGATTCTCTTTATTCACCTGTCTGCTTTTTTAAAAATACTGTTTAAAGGTTTTGGAGGGGCATGAGTCCAAAACGTGGTTACTTTGTTTTAATGAGGGCTGGCTCCTAAAGTGGCCTTCAAGATACAGAAATTTCATTCCCCATTACTCTCCTTACCTACTCAGAGGAAAAAGCCCACATGCCTTTTTGAGTACACACCTGGTGGGGCTGGTAAGTTTATCCCCCTGACAATAAGAAGGTGCATTTCTGTGCTGTTGAGATCAGAAAATATCCTGTGAAAAGAGAAAGACAAAAAAAAAAGCACATTCATCCCACTGTCAGCTGATCCACTGCCAGACCAGGACGCCATGGCTATTTGTCAGAGCTTTTTCAAGAGTGCACTCCTACAGAGACCATGTCCACAAAATACAGCAGAGCAAGGGAAGAGCACAAACAGAGCTAAAAATATCTCTGAGGCCAGGAACAAAGCCCAGGAGGCAACAGGACTGAGGGAGAAACACAGAGGAAGGAGGAATGGCTGAAGAAACAGAATATAAGAGGGGAAGCTGGAGGCATTCTGAGAACAAATGAATCAGCAAGAGAAATTAGAGAACAACTTCTTTGTATTTAAGTTGTTGAGAGTATCCTTTCAGGAATGCTGAGCCTAATCCTGGATGCCACCCATTTGCTGAAGCCCAGAATTCCCTAAACAAGGCTAAAGACCAGGAAAGTCATTCCAGCCTGCCTGAGAAATCTTTTTGTTTTTCCACACCTTATCATTTTAAAGGTTCTTTCCTCAAAGTGATGGCTTGGAGGATCCATTCCTTGTGCTCGTGCAAGCTGTAGGATCTCCATATCCTTTTTACAACCTTGAGCCAGTTTCTCAAACCTATAGAAAAAGGCAAAAAAAAAAAAAACAGTAAAAAAACCACATGTTCCAGAAATCAAACAGAGCACAGAGTAACCCTCAGTCAGAGCTAAGAGCAATGTGGAGATGCAGGAATCACAGTCCCAACCCTTTCACACAAGGATAAACTTACCAACTCAAACCCCAACACCTTCAGGAGGTCAGGCAGACTCAAACCTGAAATAACCCCTTTGGGGGATGACTGAAAGCAGGCACTGGGTCTTACCGAGTTGTTTCTGCTACGTTTCCCAGGTGCATGAATTGCTTGGAATACTGCAAACACCTCTGCCAACACAAACAAAACCAAACAGATTCATTCAGTGATCCTCACACACATTCATGACTGGCACAGTTTTGAGGTTGATGACAATCTAATTTAATAAAAACCAAGCATTTTCCTGAGTAACTCAAGAACATTCACCACCCCATTCCCCAAGTCCAAAGCACAGCATTTGTTTGAGCTGTTCTCCTTATTACTTTTTAATCACCTAATTTGTAGATTTGAGGCCTAGTCTTAATATTTAGTTACTATTTTCAAACTTGAGTGCTTATATTTAACAGTGATAATTTGCTAGTCCCAAGCCTTCAAGCACACCCTCTGGCTTCAACTAGCCATAGAAATCCAACTCTGAAAATTCTCCATTTTAGTACACACAATATCAACAGTATTCTTAAAGGAAAAAAAAAAAATCACCTCACTGGAACAATGAATGGATTATAATATTAATAAACCCCAGAGAAATGTACAAAAGAAACTCCAAAACATTTCTAAAAAATATAAAATGGTCACCTCATGTTGGTCCTTCAGCAATTTCACAAGCTGTGCATAAACTTCATCTGCTTTCTGAGACAGCCTGACATCTTCATGGTGTACAAAGATAAAATCACCCTCATCATCTGTAGGAGGTGATGGCAGCTATAACACAAGAACATCACATATCAGAGCCCTAATAGGGAAAAGTAAGCACTTAGAGATCCAAGAATATGAAACAAAGCAGAATATTAACAGTCCTACTAACCTTGGAAATATCAACAGTTTTGCCAGATTTCGCCTGCTCAATCTTTAGGTCAAGGCCCTTGGCTGTTCTGAGATACGTCTTTGCCTGTTCGAGGTTGTTTTCCCTCTTTGCTTTGATGGCTGCCTTCAGGTATTGCTTCTTCCTGTTCTCCAGAAATTCCAGCTGTTCTCTAACTGAAAAACAGTTATACAGAAACACTCACTCATCTGACACTGCTGATGCCCTTGACACAGGTTTTACCATGTTCATTTTACAGCCAGGAAAAGATCAGTGAGAGTACAGATGTGAAATCGGGACATTTCCTTACTGCACTCAACTGTTTCTTGGGCACTTTCAATTTCAAGCATTAAAAAAAGAAACAAGCTTCCTTCTAGAACAGCATCCTTCATCAAAAAAACCTCCCAGCACTTCACAAGTGTCACAAGAGTTATTACAGCCCCTAATTTGCAGGCCTGAGACAAGACTCCAGCACAGCTGATTGGTCCAAGGGAGAAGCTGGATCCAAACTTTCAGCTGTCCATGTTAACTTCTAAGAAGCAGCAAATATTGTGAGCATCCTCTGGAGTAATTTCCTTCCTTTCCCCTGATCTGTCAGAAAAGAACCCCGATGAACCAATGTGCAGGCCCACTCAGACATATCACCTCTGCTTCTTTGTAATCCCTTGTTCTCTTAGCTTCTTATTAATGCTTGAGTCTCTTTCCTTGCCAAAACATTGAGGACAACCACACCAGTGAGACTGCTTTGCCTTGTACCAGCTTAGTGCATCAGTCATGCAGGCAGCTGGACTTCATCCTGAGGTTACCAGCCAGGGCACAAGGGAAGGAGGATGGGATTACAGTCAAGGCATCAGCAAGAGCCTGAGGACTGCCTGTGCCCAAACCACACTGTGAGGTGGTGGCTGTCCCTTGCTATCTGTACAGTTCACCTTGTACACACAACTGCTCAGTGTGACCTCAGCAAGGGAAGAGTAGAGATTGATGAAGCCCTGCCTGCACTGCCAACCCCAGATCCTTGGGTGAAGCACCAGGCAGAGAACTCTGTCTGGTGTAGGGAGCTCCCCCAGATCAATGAATAATTCACACTGGCAACCCATCCCCTTTAATGAGAGTATATGGAGAGTTCAGCTGTGAGCAGAGTTAAACATTATGAATCAATACACTCGTTACATCAAAATTAATTAAAAACCTAATCAGCCTTATAATTATACATGCTGTCTCTGTGAAATAAAGCTGCATGGCTGGTCTGGATCTGCCCTCCAGCACACACATATTGAGGCTCCTGCCAGAGGAAATCTATGACACACATTCACAGGCTCACACCTAAATTATAATGATAAAGTCTTCACCAAACTAGAGCAAACAACTTACATGTGGAGCACTGGGAATGGTGCTCCCTTCACTTACCAGCTGGAGGGAGATGATCCATTGACTCTGCCTTGTCCAGGGTGGAGGGTGATGCAGCTCGTTTCAGGTGCTCAGGGGAGCTCTCCTGAGCTGCAGCAGATGGTACTGGAGTTGGCTTAACAACCTGAGTTGGCTTCTTGGCAACTGGGGCCTGGGGCAGAGGCTCATTCTAGCAAAACAAAAAGAATTGCATAATAAACGCATAGAATTTATTCCAGGGTTGAGGATACCATCTCAAGCATCAACAACCATGGTTATGACTGTATAAGCCTTTGGGTATCCCTTTTGAGGAGAACACTGCATTCCAGACAGTAAATTTTAACTTCTAGAGGTTTATGAGCCATGCCAGGCCAGCAGGTAGCTGACCTATGCAAGCCATGGATGGAATAAAAGGAATGTTCAACAAGGCAGTGATTTTTTAAAAAAGTGGAGGCATGCAGAAAAAATATCATACAGGAATTGTCTCCATTAAAAGCTACTCTAGTTGAAAGAACAATCAATCAACAATCAAATCCAGAGAGAGACAGAAAACAAACCAAAGTCTAAATGCTGGTGCAGCCTGACAAAAAGCAGTAAGTGTTGAACATCCTGAGAAAGAACAAACATAGGAAGCTACTGGGATGCAGGATAAAAGTACGGATTTAAACACTTTATGTAAAGAAGTAAATGCAAAGGAGTGGTGAGGATCTCAAGTGTTTGCTTTGAAAATAAAATCTACATACAAGACAGCTATGAAAGAGCAAACCCTACACTCACAGACTCTGCAGGTACTGACTGTAATAACATCTCAGCTGTCTCCCCTACTCCATAAAGGAAACTGAAATTACTACTGAGATCCTGTACTCCTCAGACTTTTGAGAAATATATTTCACCTGAGTACCCTTACCTGGAAATCCAACGGCCTCATCTCTGCATGCCACAAGAGATGGCAACTGAACTTTTACATATCCTACCAGGCAACACTAACCTCCTCTTCTTCATCGTTCTCCTCCATGTTTGCCAGCTTGCTGGCATTCTCCAGGACAGCAGCGATTGTGCTGCCACCATCTGTTGCTGCAACACCAGGAAGAGGGGGAAATCCTGTCAAGGAAAGAACACAGAAGAAAGAGCTGCATAAGCCCCATGGTATGTCTTCCATATTATTTTACTGTAAAGCTGTTTCTATGCAAATACCTATTATCTAATGTATTTTAGAATCCAGTCTAACTAGATTGAGGAAAAAGCCAAAAAGTCTTGCTAGATTAAGTCTGAGTGGTGGGTTTAAAATCAGCTCTCTGAGATACCCAGTTTAAGTGAATGACAGTAAAATTATGAAATAAGTGAGCAATTTTCCAAGCTGAGCAACTGGCAGCCAGTCAAGAAACCTCACAACCTCAAGACTTCAGTAGTAGGGATACCCTCAGAGCCAGCAGAGAATTTCATCTTATTTTTTCCACTCTCACTGCTGCCTAACTTTAGCAAGCACACAGTCCAGCAGAATATCAGTGCTACCCCCAGAGTAATAAACAATCCACTGCTGACAGCTGGGCTGTCACACTCAACCTCTGCTTCCTCTGCAATGCAGAGGTAGCAAACTAAGACAGGATCAGAGGAGTTAAATGAGAAGTGTATGAAGAATAATGTTCTCCATTTTTTTGTTATCCTTTTAAGGATGGGAGGAAGGCTTGATGATGGAAGATAAAACTCTCATTGCCACATGACCAGTTTAGTGTAACTTCAGATAACAGACACGCAGAGTTACTACTATAAAATGTCTGTATATATACTTGCTATATATTAAATTACTTCTCTCATTTAATATATAGCAAGTATTCTTGCTGCCAGTCTCATGAGAAGTGCTAAGAAACAGTGACTGAACTGCATCTAAACCTAGAGATGGCTGCTAGAGCACAAGTTCAAGGTACTCAGGCAGAACAGAGAATGCTGTGCTGCTGCCCCGTGTGACATTTGATCCATTGCTCAGCAGCATTTCTGTTTCCAGGGAGTCCAAGGCTGGTACTCGTCACCAGCCAGATGCCATGAAGGGCACTGCCATCCCAGGGTAATTCACTGGTGGTTTCAGTGACTGCCTGATAATTGTGTTCAGTGAAAATCATGTGGCCTCTAAATGATGACTGAAAAACACACAGCTGATGTGCAAGGACACTTAGAAGTTCTCTGTATTTCCAGAGGTGTAAACATGGAATACCTCACTCTTACAGAAACTGGTATTTACCAAGAAAGGGATCACGTTCTAAAAAAAGGGATGCTAAACTGCCTTTCAGGGACAGCTTCAAAGCAGGAAACTTTCTAAGCCACACATGACCTGATAAAGCTGGCAGTGCCTACTCTACTACCACTGCAGTGCTTGTCATTGCCACGTTTGACAGTGACAAAAACACCACAAGGTCCATCTCTGTCCTCTAACTTAAAAAATCCAGGCACTGCTTTGCAGTGCTAAGTGTATCCTTCAGAAGAACACATCAGGCCCAAGATAAAAGCAAAGATGTTTCCTAGGGGAAAAACCATATCATGCAAATGAGAGGCAGAGCATTCACGGATGACCTTGCCCAAACCTTTCCAGACACAGCACGTGGTGTTCTGAAGAAGATAAACAGGACACAGTGTCTCAAGAAACAGGCTCAGCTGCTGCCTCTGCCATTGTCTCACTGTGACCACAGCCATGATTTGCTTCATCTCTGCAGACTTTTACCAGCCAGGAGAGCTGCAATACTGATTTGATGTTATAAGGTGTTACAAGGAGATATTCATTAGATATCAAGTTCTGAGGCTCCTGAGAGGAATCAGCAGAACGGGGGACATCAGGAAAATCTTTTCACTTTTAAAAACGTTTTTCCAGCAAAACTAAGAAGCCAATATAATCCAAATTTAGTCTTTCCTCAAGGAGGGCTGATACAGAGGATACACAAGAAACACTTTTAGCATCTGCCTATGGGTGAGTTGTTAGACTTTTCAAATAGTGCCAGTTTTAAGTTCCCGTACTGTCAAACAGGTCATCAATATGCAGGAATACTCACTAGGGTCAGTGTTTGGGAGCAGATGAATAAAAAAATTCACAATACCATCAAACAGCAAGGCCAGCTACTCACTGAGAAAACACTGAGGAGCTGTTCCACAAGATAGGCAGGCAATATTTGCACAGCCCCTTCAGAGTCTAGCAGGTGTAAAAAAATTTTGGGGATTAGGACATTTTACATTCACACTTACCAGGAGGAACAGGTAGCTCAGAAAAATTCACTTTTCTCCCTGCCTTATGGGCTCTTATGGCATCCTGGTATTGCTGCAATCAAAGGCACTCAGTAAGACATAAAATAGAGCTGACTGTGAATTCGCAATTATCTGTATTTAACCAGCATAAACACTGTACAAGACTCAGTATTTTACTACAATATGTGCATTGTCTCTATTTCTTCCTCCTAATGCTTTCCAGCTTCCCCACTGGACCTCTTTTCAAACAGACAGACAATACACAAATTATTTCAGCCTTGAAAAAGTCTTCAGCAAGAGAACTGATTCAAATGGCTTTGCTGGATGCAATGAGCAACACTTTAGTTTTACCTTGGCTATCCTGTCGTGCATCCTGCCCTTCCGATCGTCCCCGCTGGCTTTAGCCTGAGCTGCTGCTGCCCTGTACTTCTCCAGCCGCTGCTGCAACGCCTCCAGCACCGTCTTGGGCTGCTGCAGGGCCTCTGCAAACCACACAGACAATTAAATGCCACAACGTAAGGATTTCAGAACACACAGGCTGCCTTTCTCCTCCCCTTCCTCACCTTTGTCAGAGAACATCACCGGAAGGTTTCACTACAAACACTGCTGTTACAAAGAAAGTTCATTAACTTTTACTTCCATCACTGATCCAGAACAAAACTAGATTGGATCAGCAGCCAACAATACTCAGGAACATTAGCCAGGTTACTCAGTCCTGCTGCAGTTCAGTGGGAGAGGCCAGACCTTAAAGTGCCTCCAGCTGTGCTATTTCCATGACTTACCAGAGAAATGCAAAAGTCCTACCTGAAGCTTCTTGGGTCTGAGGTTCAGGTGTTGCAAGATCCTGGGAACTTCCCACCCGAGGTGGTACTTTTTGCTTGGATGCATCTTGCACACGTCCTAAGCTTTCAAGATCTGCAAGGCAGGGAAAGCAGGAAGTTTCACAGCATGTTCCATACACAGCAATTACTGCTGCACTCAGAAAATCTTCCTGAAAGCTTTTTGGCTTCCAAACAGTATCTCCATGGCTAGCTAAGTCTAAGGTTCCCGTTATCCACAGAACATGCTTCATAAGAGAAAGTCTCAAATGCTGATTTAATTTTGGATAGGGCTGCTTGAGGGGGGAAAAAAAAAAAAGTAAAAGTAGTTCAAGTATTCTAAGAATTCTCTCCCCAAAATATCACTTGGTATATCTTGGCAGATGGAAAGAGTGAGCAAGTCTCCTAATTGACTAAAATATTTGTAACAAAAAATGTGCTGGAAAAGGGAAGAAACTCATATCATCTATTCAGAAACTGTAATTTCTGGTATTGTATAACAGAAAACTACAAGATTATTCGCTGCAAATATCTTGCACTTTTTAAGGGAAGGTTATGCCCTGGGTGAAGTTCCTCTGCAGTGCCATTTAGTGATCAGTAACTTGAGTCATGAATTTCACGATTTACTGAAATAATCTGTCATTTAGTGTTTTAGAATAAAATAATCTACTCAAGTAAGTTGTTTAAAACACTAGGCTGGACAGACCAAGTATTAATTATTGCATCTACTTAAAAAACACCAAACTCTTACCAGGACTGAGGTATCTTTAATATTGATAACTTGCTTTAAAAATTAGACTGCACTGCAAACTGTTTGTTAATCTAAACGTTAGGAGCTTTAGTTGAAGCACATAACTCCATCAAATATTACTGTAAATTTTAAGAATGTGCCATTATCCTTCTTTCCCTTCCACTTCAAATATTGGCTGCTATTATCTACACTTATAAAACCCAGAATATCAATATACTTGTTTGAACTTGTAATTGATAGAGAGTAACTGCAATATAAGTAATGTACCTCATTTCTCTTCATTGGTCTTGATTAGACTGTGAACATGCAGTGAGCCTCAGCCCTAAACCATCTCCAGTTCTTTTAATAGTTTTGCAATCAAATGCAGAATCATTCCATTACAGCACAGAGAGACTCCTGAAAAGGTTTCCTGAAGACAAGCCTTACCCTGAGGAGATGGAGGCATATTCTGGAGGTCTATTGGCTGCCCACTGTCCAAAGCTTCCAACACCACATTAAACTTCTAATACAGAAAAAACAAAACAGAAGATTTATTCTGGTCTGTCCAAGGCTTGACAGCTGCCACAGTAAGTATCTGACATTTAATGCAGGTGGGTACAGCAAAGGGTATGTTCAACATTTGGGATTTCTTGAGTGCATACCTTGCCTGCCTTCATGTATTCCTTTGCTTTCTCCAGGTCTCCTTGCTGCTTGGCTTTTAGAGCTGCTAATTTATACTCCTTCTGCCTCATAAGTAGGATTGCTCGAGTGCTGCTGTGCTGGGGATCTGTGAGAATGAGACAATGCAGAGATTGACACAGAGCATGCAAGATTTGCATCCCTTGCTACATCCATCTATGCAAACCCACATTTGTCCTCTTTTGCTCTAAATCACAACAGTCATCTTACAAATACCCTTTTTCCTCCAGTCTCCAGAAGTCCTACCTAATATAACAATTCCACTTTTCTCAATTTAAAGAAAAAATATTAGGTCTTTAAGTCAGTATGTCAAAACTCTTCAAAGGTTGCAATTCCACATGTCAAATAATGAAGGAGAAACTGAGGCACAGGAGAAGTTAAGGATACTGATCCAGTGCACAGGAGAGCTCTAAAACAATAACTGATTGCACTGCCAGAAACTCAGCGTTCCATGGACAACTCTGGGACTTTCAGCAGGGAAGTTCCAACATAAGCAGTGCTTTGCTAACACAAACCTCAGGGAAGATACAGCATTAAAATAAGGTTGTAACTGCTTCTCTCAGATCACAGTACCTGCTTCCACAGTAGCAGCAGCACGACCTTGCAGAGATTCTGATTCCAAATGCTCCCTTGCCTCAGGAGAAGCCTTCTGCTCATCATCTGCAGCACACTCAGCTTTATTCTCTGGTGAATCTCCTGAATTCTCCAGCTCCACTCCCATGGCTTGAGGTACATAAGAAGAACTCTTTCCTGTTGCAACAGGAGGTGGCATTTCTTCCTCACTGATTTTTTTGCCTTTCTTCACTGCAGCGAGCATGGTTTCCAATGTCTGGCATGGAAGGAACAAGAGAGTCAAAAGGCACTTTAATCAAACTTGTTACTAGCATAAAATCATTAGAGACAAATTCATCCCCTTATACATGACAGGCTCTGTCACATACACCACCACAGACTGCTGCCCTTCAGCTTCCTGTTTTTCTGCAAGAACTTCAGTGCCAGTGAAAGGTGTCCAGATACCAAAACACCACAGTGCAAAGGCCTTGTTATCTAAACCAGGTAACTGCAGGTACCTCAGCACCCAGAATTATTGGAGAGCTGATGTGATCCACTCAGCTTTGTCACAGAAAGTCACCAAGGGAGCCATTTATACCAACTGTACACGGATTTTGTGCATCTTAAAAGTATAATATAATATACTATTCTGAAATGTCACTGCCTATGTGTATCCAGGGAAGGAAGGGGTCTGCAAACCTATTTAATGCAATGAGAAAAGCCATTAAATACTAACAAAGGAAATGTTACCACCTGTGGTAAGGAGCTCTCACCATCTCTAACTTGGGTTAACTGCTGCTCAGATCTTTAAAACCCCTCCTCCATCCCAAATATTACCTTCCTCAGAATTTTAGTTTTTTAAATTTAATTTGAGGTTCAGACAAAAGACCACCATGCACTTCAAGCCAAAACAAAAGTTTTACTTCTTTCATCTTCCAAAGAAACTGAAATGGAAGCACAGAAAGACAACAACAAAATCTCATCAGTGCCAGAATCACTGCTATTTCTTTTTTAGCCATGGCATTGTTGACTTATTGTGTAACAGTGGCAGAGATACCTTGAAATGACTGCATATGAGACTGGGGCTCAGACCAGCAAGCCACTGGCAGCTCCCTCTTCTCCACGGTGACAGACTGAGATTAAAGTTCACAGTTCCAAGAACTACATACAAAAGAGAGCTCCACACCATTTGTTGACATGTCATTTTGCTAGTTAAGTAGCTGTGAGGTCTGAACTGAGATCTGGTCTATTATCCTCAGTTACACTACCCAGGCACAGGGAAACTCCCTGTCTTGAAGAATGAAGGAAGTGGCACAGGGAACTAAGCTCATTACTGGATGGAATAGCTGGTTTGTCCATCCCTGTGGCTCTCAGAAAGGCCAGGTGGTTTTGTGTACATTCCTGTCAGAGCTGGCAGGCAGTGGACACACAGAGACCTCTTCCTTGTGCTTTTTCTTCGCCCAGTTTGGCCTCAATTGCTCCCCTTGTACCCCAAGACACCTGGTAGCCAGTGAGCCATTACATCCTGCCCCAGTGCACAGCCCTGAGCTGTACAGCTTTGCTGCTGCCTGAGGTGATGCAGGAGAGCTGCTGAAAGCAACGGGGAGAGAAAGGCCCTGCCCAGCAGTAAACAAGCACTGCAGCTCACTGCAAGCACGCCACCTGCCTGGAACCACGAGAGGCTGGAGAGACTGCTCTTTGCTGCAGTTCTTAATTGCCTTAATCAAAAATCCTGCTCTATTCCTTTTCGAGCACAGCCAACACGCTCAGGGAAAGGCACCACCCGCCTTTGTCTGACAGAAGTGAGTGGAGGGTTAGTACCCAAGGGAAGGCAGCAGTGATGAACTCCAAGGTGGATGTGCTATGTGTATATGGCAAACTCCTAAACCTTGCTTTAAGGTAACACTGAGCAGTCACTGCAGGTCAAATTCAGATCCAGGCAGGTGGGTTTAACTTCAGCAGGTACCACAAACCCTGCCTCCAGCTACCACCTACCACATTCAACAGAAACAAAGCTGACACACAAAAGGCAGCTGAAGCCACACCTTATCTGTGTGTTTGCTGTATCAGGTGAGTAGTCAGTAACAACAAATGTTTTTAATGTAACACCAGGCAGCACATGAAGATTTCACTCCGCTGTCAACAAACTCACAGAAGAGCACAGTTCAGAGAGCTGGCTTTGCCTCACCCTTCCTCACATCCTGCTGATCCCAACTCACCTTCAGGCCTCTCTCATACCGCCGTACTTTGGCGCTCTCCCCCGACTCCTTCGCGTTAGAAATCGCCGTCCTGTAGTCAGCAATTCTCCCCTCCAGCGTCTGCTGTAGCTCACTGGTAACAGCAGGAAGTGAGGAAGTCTCAGAAAAAACAATAAAACAGATCAAGAAAACTTATTTCATCCTGCTAGAAGAGTTTTCCCACCGCACTGAAAAACAAACACTCCTCTTCTCCACACACACAGGGCTGGGAACTGAGTGCAGGAAGGAACAGCCCCTAAAACAGAGGAGCGTTTGTGCCGCTCCAACGGTCCCTGCAGCCACCTCTGGGCTCTCTCAAAAGCCTCACACAGAAGAATGGGTGGAGACACTTGGGAAACTCTCACTCACAGGGTAATTGGAGCCATGTGGTCGGTGAGTAGGTGAGGAGAACACTGAAGTCTCTCAAACCCCACACAACAGAGGGTGTGAAGAGGTATTTTGGCACAAATCTTGACTTATTCTTTTCTTATTTTTAAACCATACTAAGTTTGCTCCCTTCTGGGCTTCAACCTGGTTTTACAACAAGAGCTCTTTTTCCTCCTCCTACAGCCTGGAATTAGTTCAGTGACAAAAGCAGCCTAAGCAAAGTCATGAGTAGCTACTTGCAAACTCTCCACAGCCAGAGAGACCCTGCAGATGGCTCCTGATGTAATTATTGCCATTATCTCTATAGAAACCCTCTCAATCCCATTTACTAATGGGCCCCATGTACAAGGCACTGGAATCTGTGGCACACAACAGAAACATGCAGTGACTGAATAAAGGATTTGACTGCATGAGGACTGACAAAGTAAGCTGAGACAGATAATGCTACTAAGAAAAAATCTGAACCTATGTCAGAGATGCTGAGTTATAACATCTCACAATTTCAGCACACTGCTCAATACTCTTAGAGAGAAGATATGAACTCTGGAAGCCTGCACTGCAGTCTGCATGCTCCTATGAATAATGAGGGACAAGACATGCTTGACTCCCTGGAAGACAAGATCTCCCTAGATTCTTGATAAGGACCCTCAGGTTCAGGTGGGACAAGCAAGTGTGACAAGAGTGATTCAGCAAAACTGTCAGGAACACAAAGCTCATTCTTACCTGTGATTGCAGCTCAGGTAGTTCATCTTCTGCTTCAGTTGGGGATGGCTCTGTTGCTGTCATTTCATCTTCACAGCTTCCTGTCTCACCTTCTTCCCCCAGAACTTCTTGCAACTCTGCCTAAGGTAAAAGTAAGAGCCAACAAAAGCCTTTTCCTCAAAATCTTCTCTGTCCTCAAAAGACAAGAATAAAATTAACTCTAAAGTGTCAAAAGCTTTGGATGGATCTTGAACCCAAGTGAAGGGTCTGAAGATCTTCCATTCCAGTCTTTTTAAAATTCAGTTTTTATTTTTTTATTATTAATTTAAGCTGGTTCCAGATACCACTGAAAAGCCACAGTGCAGCCCCAGATTACCACATAAATTTGTGGCTGGAGATCTGAAGGCTGGAGAAGTTCAGAGAAGTACTTTTACAAAGATTATGCAAACCTAAATTTCGAATTTCCAAAAAGCCTCCACTAGCAATGGCAGTCAAAACCACTGCTTAACACTCTTCCCTAAACCCTGCCAGTTAGATGAGTCACTGAAACAACAAAGACTTTCTTGAGGTGTTCTCCTAGGCCAAGCACTACTTGAAGCAGTAACAAAATGGTGGCACACATCACTTCAAGGAGACTGTCCCTGGCTGTCTTTCATCAGCTGACATGGAATGGGATTCCTGCTCTTCCCTGAATTCTCTAAGACTCCCACACATATAAATGTTAGGAAACTGCAGGGGGATGGATCCTGCAAAGACTTGCATCTAATGGTGCTTTTGCAATATTTTAGCTTCTCACCACAAAGTTAACAGACATTTTGCTAAATGCAGTTCTGTTAAAAAAAACCAAAACCCTAAAACTTTTTGACAACAGTTATGCATACCAACAGGTCTGTATCTTTCTCCAAGTCTTCATCGTCTGCATCTTCATCTTCATTCAGGTCCTTCATACACTCTGCAGCCATCTTTTCAATATGATCCATGGGCAGAGGAGCTGTAAAAGGAAATCCCAGGGAGGTATAAACCCTAAGGAACAGTTATGCAGTCACTGCCTATAAATCCTGAAAGAGCTGCTACCAGCTGTAAGACAGCAGTGACCTCCCCTCTCGTGCCCCCTTTATTGCACAGTGTTGTAGGTAACTGAAAGTGCACTGATGGATAAAGGGCAAAGACTGGGAAATGAGCACCAGGAAAAGCAGCACTGGTGTTTCTGCTATGACAGTTGAGGCAGGCATAAGACACTTGCACATTTTCTGCACTGCTGTCTCGTGATGATGAGATTCAGCCTTTTCCAAATTTTTCTTGGCTCCTTCATTTTGCAATTTTGCTTCTGGTCTTCATCCTGAAAACTCTACTTAACTCCACATTGCTGAGTTCTCATCTGTGCTTCATCCTGTGCCAACCACATCTTCCTAAACTATCAACTTCCTCCACATGCTCTCAAAGGTGAGGTTGTTTGCCCACAAATCCCAACTGTCCACGTAAATGCCTCTGATACTTCCCTATGCAGACACATGACTGTGACTCACCAGTGGCAGTAAAAGCTGCAGAAAATACAGATCTCCAGGACAGAGCTTTACAGTCAATTTAAATGGATTCCATTCATTCCCTACATTTGCTGAATCAGCTGAAAATTAACCCAGGTACAAAACTGTTTCTGTTCAAATAATCTAATTCACCCCACCAGTGCTTCAGTATATCAAACACATTGCTCCTAAATTTGACCCTCAGCAAACTCAGGCTGCAGGCCATATCCAAAGGCAACCGGCTATGCAGAAAACTGCAGTGAGGGCAAAAAAAATCTAATCAAGCCTCCTCAGATGGTTTTTCTGCTCTAATCCCATGCAGCAAGATGAGGCCACAATTTCAAACACATGAGTGGCTGCCCAGCTGGAACTTATCAAAGAGAGCAGGGATCTCTGTGCTTAAGAGATGTTCCAACAGTGCAGCTTTTGCTGGAGGAGCAGGCCATTCCCCCCTGCCCAATGAGAGCCCTAGGATATAATCCCAGAGGGAATTACTGCACCTGCTGCTCAGCCAAGAACCAAGCACATGAGTTGCACTGGATCCCTTTTTTCTGCCCTTTCCCAGACTGGATCCTCCCCTGTCCTCACTGTAGCTCCTCCTTTCCAGGCAGTGGCCTGCCTGCATCCTGCTCCCACCACTGCACTGGGCCAGGTCTCAGGAGTGCCCAGTGCCAGCTGCTCATCCTCCAAAAGCTTCTAACCCACACATTTCCAATTCTAGCAGGAAAACAGAATAGCTGCACATTACTTTGGAAAATCCTTTTTGAACCACACATTTGGAACAGTAAATGTTAGGCACAGCAAATGTTAATTTTTCACTGTCTGAAGTTTTATTTTCCTCTTATGAATAAAAACACCAAAACAACAAAATAAGTTATGATGATGGTGAAAAGCTCTTGAGCTCTTGAAAAGTTCAAAAGAGCTCCTGATACACAGATTCACCCTCAAAACATTATCCTGCATGTTTTAGCCACGAGTAATCTATGTTCAATGGCAGAAGTTCTGCTATTATGCTTATTTGCACAATTATGCTTATTAGCTTTAAGAGTTTACTAAAATTTTGAAATCTGGGGAGTGGAAATTATTTAGAATTTAGTTTCAGATACAAACATGTCCTCTGTCTATCATCAGCTACCATATTTATAGAGTCGTCTTGCCTAAACATTTCAAAGTTCTTCATTTCTCTGCTGCTCTGTGTGAAGCCCCTTCAAATATTAGAGGGAAATTACTGCAGAGCTGCAGATAAGGCTGTAGGTGCACCATCCCTTCCTGCACCTGCTCACACACCTGTAGGTCCCATTTCCCTTGTCCCACTTCAACCACTGGCTGCCACCCCAGCTCAGACAGGCAGGAAGCAAACCTGGATCAGCTGAAAACCTCTCACAAGAACACGGGGTTTATTTTTGCAGAGGAGTTCCTGAACCAGCTCAGCCTGCAGCTCCACAAACACAGACATGCTCAGAGGCAGAGCATGCTCACTGGAGTGCCCCTCACAGCAGCAGCCTTGTTTTGTGGTAGCTTACAGCAAGCCTGTAAAACACTGCAGAGCTGCATGCAAACACCACCAGACTAAATTAACAGATACTTAAAGCACTAAGAATGGTAACAGTCCATTCCAGGAGACACTCTAACCTGTATAACACAAGCTACAGGGTTCTCCAAGTAATTGCATCAGTATTTGCCTCTGAAAATGGGATTCAATTTTGGTTACAGACTCCAAGTAACTAAAAATATGATGTTCGTTATGTAAATTCATTCTTCATACAAAAACAGAAGAAAGACCACATGACAAACAACCCACCCTCCATAAGAAACACAATTTCCCTTCTGAAATCATGTGGCGCCTACTACACCTTTTTATGACTTCATATGCCAAAAAAAGCATGTCTTAATTTAGTCATTAAATGGGCCAGCACCAGAGATCTTTTTCCTATATCTACAAGAACACCAACAAAAAAAAAACTTTCACATTGTTTGTGAAGTAACAAATTAAACCTTTCAAAGTAAAGAGCAGTTACAAATTCAGGTTCTACGAGTAATAAAAAACATTTTAGATAAATCTAAAGATTTTTAAATAAATAATAAATTTAGATAAATTTATTAAAGGTAAATAAAATTCAGATACTTTAACTTACCTTTCACCTTTGGTTTTGGTTTTCCTTCTTTCACTTTTGCTCCTGTGATAGCAGCAAGCTCTGCTTCAAGGTCCCCATCATCCTCACCTTCCTCTGCACCCAGCAGCATCTCCTCAGGATTGAAATCCACAAACAGCCCCAGCTGGAGCCAAAGGAAAACAACAATACAGAATAACAAAATACCCTACAGTTAGAACAAAGGTGACACTCAAAAACGTCACACTGCATGGATTATTTAGACATTTCCATGCATTCTGAATTCTGCTCTTTTTTTTTTTTTTTTACAGCCCACTATCACACCACTTCTATTACCACAACAATGCATACCAGGCACCCAAAACTGATGTTAGGTTCATAAATCTTAACACCCCACAAGTATTCCCTTAAAACTCTACACAAACAATTTCTTAAAATCAATCCTATTTAACTCTGACATAAGAAGGTAGAATAAAATGTTTGTTTTAGTGAGCCTCATGAAGCAGATAGCATCAGGGAAGTCCAGGGCAGTGCCTGCAACAGCTAAGCTAAAAAACATTCACTCATCCTTCACACACAACAGGTCTGACATGTGCACACTGCAGAGACTTCACCCTTATCTCTCGAAGAAGCTACATTTATAAACACAAAACTGTTCTGTCTTCTTCTTACATCAGTTTCTAAATCCCATAGAAACAAACACAGCCATTAAAACCCAGCAATGCCCACACTGCACTGGAGAAAAACATCGAACTGGCTGGCACAGATCATCAGCTAAGAGATAACATCTCAGCATTAATAACAGTAATCAGGATGTGACAGTAGGGGTTATCTCTCTCTTGTGGCAAAACATTCCAAAGCACATCAAAGGAATCTCTGGGGTCTTAGGCCAAAAGGTATTCTTTTAAAATGCCATTTTATCAGAGTTTTTGTATTTCTGGTTAAGATACTAACTACCCCAGAAAAAAAAAATCTTAAGTACACTAAGATTTTTTATAAACATGAATGAACAGAATTAGATTCATCCTATGAGGCAGGTGAAGCTTTCCTCAGACTTTTCCAAAGCACAAGCCCTTATTGATCCTCACATGGCCAAGGAGGCAGCACTTCAGCTTCTCCCCAGCACAGGAAACATCAGCTGTCATTATTCTGAGTGCTAGCAATCTCCTGCTGTCTCAAGGATCTGAAGTGCTGCAAGAAGCTGGCTGTCAGTTTATAAATTAATGTAACAATATTTCTTTTTAACCCAGTAGGAATCAAAGTACCGGTGGCTACTGCCCTGAAACATTCTGTGCCCCTCTGGACCATTTTATAATCCCAAAGGAGAATGTGAAAGATACAGCTGAGCTACACTGGTTCCAAGGACCAGCAACTGCACTCAAAGTCAGCAGCTGTTCGTTTCCTAGCCCTGATCCTGCCCTTGACATTCCATAAGGCACTGGGCAGATCAGTCAGCCACCCTCTGCTTTATCCATCTCCCAGGTGTAAAGCAAAACTAAAGCATTTGCACACTCGGCTAGAACAGAAGGAAGGTGAGGACAATATTTAAATAGGAAACACTTATAATGGAGACCTAAAGATTCAAGTTCTATGGAACACACATGGAGCTTCCATCAATGCACAGAAGGGATCAGAAGCACACAGGACCTGTTCATTACCACACTGCAAGTGTGGACAGTGAAGCAATTGCAGCAACCACGGAAGTCAAGAACACAATTCAGCAGTTCTGGCTCCAAGTCCCAATCCATTCAGTAAGGAATATTTCCAATGAAATTAAGAGTATTGAAGCAATGTTTAATAAAATAGAAAAACTAAGTTATAAAAAGCTTGCAGTTGATACACTGCACAACAATAAACCATTTTAAATTGAATTAATTTGAAAGTGAACAAGCCATTTGTTTCAAAAAACACTCATCCATGCTGTAAGACAGACTGAATAATTAACTGTATTGAATTAGAAATTAGTAAAATACATTAATCAGATCCTTGATTTACTCTCTATCTTTTCAGAATGAGGTTTCTTTTTCTTCCCCAGAAGAAGGAAAGATATTTTTACCTTTTATCTTCTCCCCTGCTCAGATGAACTAAGTTATACACTATCTCTCTCTCTCTGAGAAATGTAAACTTTCACACTGGAGCCATGGTGACATTATGGATCACTAACTACAGCATTCTACCTTCAGTATGAGAACACTGGTTCCTAAGAAATCACTAAAAGATAATATCTTAGCTATTTTCTCTATTCTAATAACCTGTTACATTCCTTTTTCACATTTCTCTATATTCTTACCAGTTTTTCCACCTGTTACTTGCCTCTATTCTACTTTCAAAGGTGTCTGAAATTCCATTCTGGTTCTAGCATATTCTTTTACTCTAACTACACTGTTTTTCTGTCAGTTTTCCACCCAGAATTTTGCCTTGACTGTATTTGTAATTTTGACACTGTCGTCTAACTTTCTACACCTGCCAACCATGACTAATTATTGTTTCTCTCCACAAGACTTCTGAAACTCCATCCAAAGGTGAATAAGTATGGAAAAAAAACCCCAGCACATGGACACAACTAAACTCACTCTTATCTACAAGAAAGGAGCATAGACTTATCAGTCTATCTGTTACATGAAAAAATTACTATACAAAGGGAAAGTAAAATTAACTGTCTCTTCTTTAGCACCTTAATATTCTCCCATATATGTCCCCTATTTGTTACCTGATATTCTGCTGTTCTTATTTCTGTTTTCTTAGAGATGCAAGGAAAACCTCCAGAGAGTCACTGAAGTTATTATTAAATCTCAACATAGCTGGGCTGAGAAAATACTGTAAGCATGAGTCATGAGGTCTCATGCAAAGATTACAGCATTACAACACTGTGCCTTCCCTGCAAGACCTCCACAGCTGCCTATCAGATATTTACTTAAAGAGGAATGCATTAAAGAAGAAGGAAGGAAAAGAGGTACCACACAATCTAATTTTTTCCATGGTCCTGCAATCCTATAACACATGGGAGATTCTGCAGGAAAACAGCAGCAAGAGGTCTGAAAGAGACTATCCTGAGAAGCAGTGGGAATAGGAGGTTTCCCTGCCTGCTCTGCAACCACATCTCCCTGGCCCTTTGCCCTCCTTACCTGCTTTGCAACTGCAGCTCCCTGGCCCTTTGCCTGAGGGCTCTTTTTAGGTCTTCTGCCAAGCATGTTGGTTCATGAATTTCAGAGAGCTGCGTCTCTATAGGACTGAGAGCACACGGAACTTAAGTCAGTGCCCTGCCTGTGCCAAGGCAAAGCCCGCCGGACGGAGACGGGCGGCGCGGCCCCGCAGCCTCCCCGGCTCTCCCTCCCTGCCAGGGCTCCCCCACCGTGAGGGCAGCGGGGGCAGCGCCGCGGGACGCGCTCCGCGGGGCCCGGGCAGCCCGGCCCGGCCGCACCCGCGCTCCTCCCGCCCGGCTCGGCGGGACCCGGCGGGCAGGGCCGGCTGTGGGCGCTCCCCGGCCGGCGCAGGGAGAGGCCTCGGGGGCGACGGGCCGGGAGCCGCGCGAAGAAGCGCCGAGGGACCGCCCGGAGAGAGCCCGGCCCTGGCTCACCTCGGCTCCCGCCCGTGCGGCCGCAGCTCCGCCCGGTGCGGCGCGGGGAGGGCCCGGCCGCCCGCGGAGGCTCCGCGGCTGCGCGGAGGGGCGGGCCCGGCCCGGGCTCTGGCCCCGGCACACAGCCCCGGCACCTGATGAGGGGCGATCCCTCATCGTGACCCAGCAGACAAAGGAGATGGGTATTTGAGTGGCACAACTCGCGTGGTATTGTTGCAGTCTTCTCCATTCCAATAAAACTAAACTAAAGTTCCTTTTAATTATGTTGGATTGAAAACTGGAAGTTCCTTGTAATTATGTTAGTAAGGAAAAGTTTAAGCACATTTTAACAAGGCCTTTCATTGAGTATAAAAGTCACTGAGGAAAATCTACAGAATGCCAAAGACACCATGAACCTTAAAAAAAACAGCAACGCAATTAATCTTTTTCACATAATCCATCCCAACTTTATAAACCTCAATTTAAAGGGGTCCGGCTACCAGCACATAAAAATACTTCGAAAAGCAAATAGTTTAAAATATTTAAAATGCTTTGAAATTAATTCTTTATTATTAAAAACGAGTGCTTTCATACATCAAACAAATTAGCAAAGCATTTAAAAAAATACATTTCACTATTTCCATTTTATCAATAATTAAAAAGAATAAAAATAGACGGTATTTAAAATATTTATACATGCTAAAAGCAATAAAATCTCTTTAGCTTTATTCGTCCCTGAGTGCATACATGACATCGTCCTGGCTGAGGTTCAGTCGCACCCTCATGTGCAGATATTTACTGCTGGCCTCCAGCAGCAAGAGCCTGCAGGCACCAAGTCTTGAACAAATTGCCATGGTTTCTGACACCGTAGGGCTCTGCAGGCCTTCCACCCTGCACAAGGCCACGTGGTGGTGGTAGATCTGTTGGAAAAAAGAAGCACACGGGTTATGTTTACTGCCTGCTGCAACTGAGTGTGCCAAGGTGACATGGAGAGAAGCTGCCTTCTCCCCACATCCATGGGAGGGGAGATGAAACAGCTCCAGCCTGTTCAGATGCTGTAATTTTATATAAAAATGTTTAGAAATGCATCTTTCTATAAACATTAACATTTAGCTTCCACACTACTCATGACTACTCCAGAGTCTTCACAGCTCTGGTGGCATCCAGTATTTTATGGATCTACTAAAAAAACCAAAGCTACCAGTGACATATCTGCCTCTATGAAAAAAAACAGTGATGCACAAGTTGGAATCAACTTGCAGTTTTACTCCCTGGACTGTTGCCTGAAAATTTCAGCTTCGCTTTGATTTTTCCTGTTATAAAGCATGTTAGAGTAAAAGCATGAGATGTTTTAACATGCAGGCCAAAAAAAATAAAACCACTTTGTGATCCAGATCACTGGTGTCAGTAACAAAAAAGCCCCATACCTGTTGAACTGTCGCCTCCTCAACTCCTGCCCTGCGAAACTCTGCCAAAATTGCTTTCAAGAAGATTTGTTCGTGCAACGAAGCATTCCTGAGTCAAAAAACAAGACAGACAAAAATCCATCTGTGAATTTCAGAACCCATGAAACATCAGGAGAGAGTCTGGAAGGGAAATTGCTTGGGAGCTACATATTTAAACACAGGGTGGCCAGTTTATGTCACAAGTGGCCCTTGTATCACAGCCTGAAACTCTGGCATCACAATTTTTGTTCTTGAAAAACTACTGCTGTGAAAGAGACACAAAAACAAAGGAAATTATTTTTACCTGATTGCATTGACATATGGTGATGAGAACATTTCATCTATGGCTTCAGTCACATGGGCCATCCTGACCATCTCCGGGGCTCTCTTCTGCCTGGCGAACTCGCAGATCTCCGTGGCCCTTCTGCAGATATCCAGGCACCGCCGGGCATCCCCGGACAGCGCTGCCACCTGCAAGGGAACGTGACAGAGTCACGACATTTCCAAACAGCTGGGGACAGAGTTCAGCGAGAATCAACGGACAAACCAACCCCAAACACCCCGAGCACCCAGTGGGAAAGTATCTCTGAGCTGCCTTACTGCAATCCCAGATCCTGAACAACAAAGCTTACTGACCAAAAACAACAGAAGCAACTGTCCACATCTCCCACACCCCCACCCTGATCTGTCATTCTAAATTCAAGGCTGAACTTCTTTCTATAACACAGAAGTCAGAGGCTAAAAAATAATTCAAGGTGTGCAGTTCACTTCGACACCAAAAGCTTTCAGAAATATCAGTTTAATTATCACTGAAGACCTTTACCATAATCCAGGTTGATGCAAAAGGAAAATAAAAAGGGGGGGCTGGCTATGACACCAAAAAACTCAGTTTTTCTATACTCATTAAAATCTGATTTTAAGACTACACTAATAATTTTAGAAGGTCTCAAAGAAATATCCAGGATTTCTACATCTATTTACAGTTACAAGTGCCTGAAAATATTTAGGTGTCTGAAACTTCTGAAACTAAATACTTGTTAAAACCCCAACTGTGCTTTACAGTTTTAATAAAACTATGAACATTCACCACATACTAGAATTGGCCCAGTTTTCCCAGCAGATGCTGGTAATATACAAAAGCCCTAGAACCCAGCTTGTGCCAAGAATGAGAGAAACCCTGTGGAAAATCTAATTGCAAGGTATATTTCTATATTTTCTGAAGAAAACCCATACTAGAAAAACACTGCAATTGTTCCCTCTGCAAAACCATCACTATTACTCTTACAGAGAGGTAGTTCCTTCACAACAAAACACACGCTTGTATTTACTTCTGACATATTTATGAGCACTCTTTTTTAATCCTACAATGATGGAGGATGTTTTGACATAATTTTAATAGATTTCTTTAATATAGAACTGCTAATATAGCACATTAGCAGAGTACATATCTCAATCTGAGAAGCTACTGATCCCCAATGCATTACTTATGTTTTGTACAACTGAGAATTAAGACTTGCACACAGAACAGGCATTATCTATTATGACAAGGGACTAAACATCTTGAGAAATAAAATTAATAAGGCTATTTCCACTGCCACTGGCATGCTATCTTTTTCAGGATTCTCCAATGACTCACATTATGCTAAACAGTGGAGACAGTTGACATCTTATCATCACGATTCTTGTCATGCCTTCAGCTCTTGGAATATGCTGCTGCCTTCTCAGAGTAGGTGGAAAAAGCAAGGACACTGCTCTAGCAATGTCTTCTGAGAAGATACCCTGAATAAAGTATGATCTAATTGTGCCCCACTTGCCTCCAATACAGAACACAACCACACAACCAGGTCTAATAGCTGTTACAAAACTCTCCCTGCTGTCCCCACGCTTTTCACCTGGCGCAACATGAAGGACATTTATCTGCTCTGTGCTCACCTTTCTGGAGACCAGCTGAACTGCATCTTCTTCAAATGCCTTCACACCCTTCAGTCTGGATGAAACGATTTGCTGTAACTGTTTGTAGGTGTAGGGCTGAAAGGACATTCTGGTGAGGCCCTACAACAAATGACACAACACAGTGAGAAGTCTTTGTGGTGCTGGAAAACTCTCAATTGCTCAAGCATGGCCTGTGTGGTTACTTTTACTTTTTCTGGTAGGAGCAATCAGTCTTTCACTTCCTTTCCCTCCTAGTGACACACTTTGATCAATCACATTTGTGAAACAAATGTATAAATCCACAAAACTGACTCGGTGAGGATCACTGGTTGGATCTGGATCTCCCCACTGAAAGGCCCAAGGAGCAAATGAAGCTGCTATCAGAATTCAAATTTCTCTTATAAAAAACTCTTAAACAAATCAAGCTCCCCAATACAAAAATATTTTGATTACATCTGTCTACACGTTATTTTTTAATACAATAACAGCAGCAGCCGTGGAAAAAAAAAATCAGTGTTTCCTTTAGCAAATCTGTATATGTGTGTTGACTTCAAGTTAGCCATCAGCCAAGAATTAAAACCCTCTTTTGGCTCAAGCTAATAAGGACTGCCCTCAGATTAGAACAATCTATGTTACAAATGGTGCACTACCTGTCATCCTACAGGAGACCTGAGTTTTGAATTTCTTATGCAAAACTTCTCTTGTGACTATATGGACTCAGCTGATCTGCAGTGGGTTTAGTGGGTGGGGGAAAGCAATTCACACCCTGTGGAGCTGTTTTTGAGTCATGGAAGGATAAAGGCACGGAGCACTGTTTTTGCAAATCACTTTTCAGAGCTGTGGTGAGATGACCTAGGAAAACATATTCAAAACAAGTGGAGAGTGCATCCAATTTTCTTTGTTGGATAACTTTATATAATCTACCAACTGATAATGGCAAACAGAAAAGTAAGTAGATTCCTGGAATGAAAGGGGAAAGAGGAAGGGAAACCAGAAGAGAATTCTTCTGAATTCCACAGTAAGCAGCTTAACCATAAAGCACAGCATTTGATTATCCAGATTTTAACATATTTTAAAAGGCATCCATATTCTTATTTCATTTTTACAAGAATGTAGTGTACATACACAGCATAATACATGATTAGCAAAACAGGCTCATGAACTTACTTTGCTAAGATTTATATGTTCATTATCAACCCTCTGGAGAGGGAATTATAAAAAAACATTGTTCAGCTTCTGATATAACCAATCCTCCTTTTCTACTGGATTGTTTTTGATCGCATCCAGTATTTAATCTGTTCTCCTTTTATGGGATAGCAACAGAACTGCTAGGACATACCAGCCTGCTCGCTACTCTGTTCAT